ACGGACGCACGGACGCACGCTCATGCGATTCTACAAGCTGCATCTGACTATGTCAGATGAGCTAAAAATAGAGGGTGGATGAACAATAGCAGAGAATGAGATTGAAAAGGAGAGAAGGCGAGGAAAGGGATAAGCACGCTTGGTACCTGCCAAATAGAATAGTATTTTTGTTAAAGTTATACTTTTAAAAGAAACAGAGAATATACTTGTCGCAGTAGTTTTGCCCAAAAACATAAATCCCGATAACTCAATTTTTAGGTCCGTTTCCCCGACATACTCGACAGCAGTAGTAACATACATTCTTGAACACACGTTTGTTCAATAACCATGCATAGCATAGCACATCAGTAACATGCGAGAAAGAGAGCAAGTATACTTTCCTACCGCGTAATAGCGCAATGCAGAAGGTTTGTGTGTGTGGGGGGGGGGGTGATCGACTGTATACAATGTGCCAGTATGCGCAATACTGGCACGAAGATATTTTTATTTTCGAAAAATCAAGATGGTTATTATTTTACCTGATATCTATCGACCAGATTTCAGTGCTAAAATGTGTTTTTCATAAAAATGCAATGTTTATAAATAAAATATTCTATTATATGATTAAAGAACTGCATAACCTTGTTGGGGCGTTGTTATAAATTGTCAGCTGTTCTTTCAGTGTTTCGTACATTCTGGCGGTTGTTGTGTTTGTATTTTGCAGCGCCATTGCTCTACAGTCACGTTTACTTTCTGATGTAAAGTTGCCCTTCTAACATTTATTTTCTTGTAAACTAATCTATTGTATCTCCCTTTGCATTACGGTTACTTTACTCGCTCATTTACGCAGGTAGGCCTATCACTAACTGCTCTAGCTTATTTCAATTCAGCGTGTTCTATGTGTAATGCGGTTGTTACTTATATATATTACCGCAATGTCGCTTCTACACAAACTTGTAATTTCTGCTGAACAATAACCACCTTTCATTAGTTGGTTTATTGAAGTAATGTATTGAGATCGGGATTTGAGATACGCCCCTACTGCTAACCGGCTCCTCACGTTTTTAAGCATATAGGATCGACCGAATATCGTTGCCTTTGAGAGATAACGCGCTAAGATTCCCGTTCCAGTATACCCTATAAATGAGAATAGGACCATGTAAAAGGCATGGTGTAGCCGCTAAAGTGAAATATTGAGATCAGGATTTGGTATTACGTACCAGCTACTTGCCGGTTACCACCTTTTTATCCACATAAGATCGACTGAATTTCATTAATTGTCTTTGAGTGATAATGCGCCGAGATGACCGCACTCGCAAACACTATACAGTATTGTATATGACTATCTGTAAGGTAGGGCATTACGTCCCAAGCGATACTAACACCGACCAACACAGTAGATTGGTAAATATGATACTTTTTGACTGCATAGAATCGCTAAGTTGGCAAAGCAGGACACATTAGCAGTACCTATCTAATCGCTTTTCGTCGACGGTGTAGATCGTCTATACTCCAGTCAAGATGCTTCTGCTCACGTAGACGTGGTAGACTAGGACATTAGCTGTTATTTTTACCCGTGTGAACAGAGTATGTATCATACAGGCCTGGTATTATAGGCTTACACTATGCTCTCTTTCTTTCTCTCTCTTATGGTTTGTTTCCCATTTTCCATATATGAACTTGCTTCGCACAGTAACAGCTCTTTTATTCTTATCATTTGTTGCTTTCTCACACACACGGACGCACGCACACAAATACATCACCCCACAAACTGAAACATATACACTATACTTCTCTTGGTAATTGTTTATTATTAATGGTAGACATTGATATTATGAATGATTTTTTCTTTCGTCTTTTTCTTCTTCGTTTTCTCTCCCGTGTGAGTTCTGATGTGTCTCTTCAGATTACTTGATTGTGCGAAGGCAGCATCACACAGATCACATTGATACGGTTTCTCCCCCGTGTGAGTTCTCATGTGTTTTTTCAGATTACTCGAATCTGAGAAGGTAGCATCACACAGATCGCACTTATACGGTTTCTCTTGAGTGTGAGTTCTCATGTGTGTCTTCACATGACCCCGGAAGAAGAAGGTAGCATCACACAGTTCGCACTTATAAGGTTTCTCTCCCGTGTGAGTTCGCATGTGTTTCTTCACATAACCCGAGTCTGAGAATGCGGCATCACACAGATCGCACTTAAATGGTTTCTCTCCTGTGTGAGTTCTCACGTGTGTCTTCAGATTACCCGATTGTGAGAATGCGGCATCACACAGATCGCACTTATACGGTTTCTCTCCTGTGTGAGTTCTCATGTGTGTCTTCACATGACCCAGAAACGAGAAGGTAGCATCACACAGATCGCACTTATACGGTTTCTCTTGAGTGTGAGTTCTCAGGTGTGTCTTCACATGATCCAAGCGAGAGAAGGTAGCATCACACAGTTCGCACATATAAGGTTTCTCTCCCGTGTGAGTTCGCATGTGTTTCTTCACATAAACCCATTCTGAGAATGCGGCATCACACAGATTGCACTTGTATGCTTTCTCTCCTGTGTGAGTTCTCACGTGCCTCTTCAGATTACCCGATTGTGAGAAGGCAGCATCACACAGATCGCACTTATACGGTTTCTCTCCCGTGTGACTTCTCATGTGTACCTTCACAATACTCAGATAGGAGAAGGAAGCATCACACAGTATGCAATCATATGGATTTTCCCCGGAATTAATTCTCACATACTCCATCGTGCTTCAGGGAAATCTGCCACGTACTGGTCACACACGTCAGGTGTCTACCCTGTCTGGCGTTCAAGTTACGACCATGTGTTTTGCTTCGAAAACAGCCTCGTCTCACTTGTAGAATTCACGTCCTATATATATAGGCTCTCCTACAAATTAGTAAAGAGAATACGAATAAATGCATTGAACACTGCGTATTGATGTAGAACAAAAACGCGCCCTGTTTATGTTTGCAATTTAACTGTTTAATCTGAATATCAAATTAATATCATCTAAACATCACGCATCATTTAACGACTGTAAGGTCAAGCACATAATATATCACGAAACTAAATATACTGAATTAATATAAGAAACATCCATTTACCCAATGAAGTCACTGAACGTCCGTGTGGTGTTCTCGTATTAGACTGATGTTACAAATGTTAATGGTGTGATTGTATACCTGCTGTTATGATGAAACCGATCAGATATCCTGACACCCGGGTAACCGGTCTGATCTCCTGATACCAGGACACAAGGTGGTCGCTTCACCTAAATAATTACAGAAGCAACAGTGTACCTCGCCCACAAACATTGCTGTAAAACTATCTCATGGTCTCTCATGAGCTTGGTGCTTGAGTAGCATCCGTACTGGTGACACCTACAAACCATATATTTAATTTTACAACTGCATAAGTAATTAAGCTCCTGGAGTATGCATGTGTTTTTAAGCCATCTTATGGCTGATTTATCGATGGCTATAATGATGGGGATATAGCGTAGTTCAGTCTTCACAGCTTGCTCGGCACCACCTTATTGGTTGTGTTATACAAGGACTAGCATAGGCACATGGCGCTACTGAGGGGAAAACGCCCAGTGACAAATTGTAGAGCAAATCCTGATAAATATAATTTTTAGCATAGAGTCGCAATAGATGAACGAAATACGAATGGGGGTAAAAAATATTGGGACAACAACAGTTTGAACATTTGTATGATTTCATGTAGTCAGTCTTCTAAATATACATTGTGTAGAAAATACGCCAAATTACTATGAATATGCTTGTCTGGCGGTGCCTCAACTGGTGACGTCATTAGCACGTGCTATTCCAGAATGTGCTTTGAGCCATTCCAACATGCATTGCGTGCTACGACAACAGCAGCCATTTCGAAATATTCATACCTTTGACATTTTACTAGCTTTTAAATAGTCTTTTTTACTTTTAGTCTATCCTTTTCAAGCAGCAGATTCTCGCAACAAAAAGCTTAAAAACACCTACTGTGAGCATACTTGCCGAAATGTTCTCATTAAACCAGAAATGTGATTTGAGGTAGAGCATTTTGATGTAACTGAGTTTTTGCGTATAGATTTATCAACATATCGATCATATCGAGGAAATCAAAAGCAGAAAAATAAACTCATCAATCTAAATATATAATATAAAATTATATGCAATATCCACTATATTACACCTATATATCAATATATTATCTAAATATAGTATAAAAATGTACGACGGTTGTATTGTTGATTAATATGTCCATATTCTAATTAAAAGCTGTTGAATTTCACTCTGGTGTCTGTCTACCTACTGCATCGTCGGCAAAATAATTATGTGGAAACCACAAGATCACACGTGTTGTAACAACCTCAAGGGCCACTACAATATAGACAGAAGGCTTCATCCGTATACAAGATAGGACACCTCTCGTTTCTTTCATAATAATGCTATTTGATTAACGAAACTTACATATGCTTATAGTATTAATATTTCAGAGCCATCCTGAAAGCATGAATGTTGTACCACTAAAAACTTTTTCACCCGCGATATTGGCTTGCCGCCTGTCGGGATCAGACCGATAATTCGGTGAGCCATGCCTCCCGCATCCTATTTGCCGCGGGGTCGAAAAAATTCCTAAAATGCTCAATTTTGTAGTCCAGAGGGAGTAAAGCCGCTTGAGAGAAGGCCTGGAATGCGATATAGTTACCTAGCAAATTTTCATGCAGGCCGGCTACATGTTTGGCCTTTGTACAGTTACGAATTGAAGGTACAGAACGATACACAATGAACCCGTGCAGCTGCAGCGCAGTACGTCATTACAATTCGCTATTTCACATTCAAACTTTGTTTCCCCAAACATAATTTCTTTAGTGAGCATTAAGTCAAACGTCTGGGTGTTTGAAAACACCGCTTGAATTTTCCGACGCCACTATAACAACGTTGACATTTTTCGGTGAGCGCGTGCGTGTGCGTTTGGGTGCGCGCATGCGTGTTAATGCGTGCGCGCGCGTTTGTGTGTGCATGCAAACGTTGAAATTTCTTTGGTGAGCATTGGTGTGCGTGCCGGCGTGCGTGCATACGTGTTTGCGTGTGTACGTGCGCGTGCATGTGTATGTGTGAGCATTCAGTGAGTATAGAATTTCTTTCGCGATAACTATCATTGCCTTAGCACAGTCAGCATCAGTTTTTTTAATTAACAAGTGCCTGAACTCTACTGTCACATGCATCGCAGCAAAAGCCACACACCGCACCGCTAACTCAGTCTCAGGCTGGTGGCAAAGCCTCAAATGGATTTTTTTTACATATGCCACGATCCAATACACATGATCACTGAAAATTGTGACGTGAACTGTAGATGCTGCCATCACACTAATAACAATTTGTGTGTTAGACAAATATAGAATTTCTTTGATATAACTATCATAGCCTTTGGACAGGTGACAATGCATGAATCTGAGTCGAAGTGCACTACTTTGTTTTTATTAACTGTCTGTTTTACATTTTATAATTTCATTACGTTAAGAAGTTATTATGCTTCTTCATTTACTTCTTGGATATTGCGATCATGTTTTGATGATGCCTGGGTAAATGCTAGAGGCCCGTGATTCACAGGCCGTGAATGGCTAGTAATAATTAATGTGTTTTTCAAAGAAATATACAATTGGGGCACTGACTGACATGCAGCACTACTTTGAAAATAAAACCACATGAAATTTACTAATAAAAATAAAAATAGGAAATGTACAAATAAGCCATTCTACCGTGACTCCATGATATCTATACTACTACAAAAACGAACTATGTCTGTCTGTCTGTCTGTTTCCTATGCATTTTGCCGTTTATTGGTTTAGGATGCCATAAATTGCCACACGGTTAGGTTATCACCCTAATAAGGTATAATAATAAGGTATATATAAGGGTGGTCTAAGCACATTTAAAAGGATACACTAAAAACTGCGATTTAAAAACAAGTAAAATATTAAAAGTTAAAGTATGAATGCCTCGAAATGTCATTGTTGTCGTAGCACGCAATACATGTTGGGATGACTCACAGCGTATGTATTTATGCCGATTGACTCGCTCTATTTATGTATTTCTATGTGCGATAGCGCGCACTAATCACGTGTTTGTTTCTCTGTTAGTGTTAGTAATCTATCCGTAGAATTAAGTAAATGTCTATGGCGCATTTGCTCTAAAATCTGATCCTAAGGGTTTTTCCACGATCAACACCGGGTACCCGGCTAGTTTCTACAAAAATCACACTTTTACCGGGCTTGCAATCCTATATTAGCTTGCTGCTACTTGTTTTAAGAAACTATTTCAGCAAAGGCTCCAGTTATGCATATTTAAGCATGGAAGTTATGAAGTCACACTAATATTTTCTCAGATATCACAAACTATTCTGCATGATGTGCGTGACAGCTGTGTGCTAAGCTACTAACAAGTTTTGATGTATACTTCACACTTTAGATTTTTTGTAGAATACTATAAGTTTGATCAGAGTTATACCTGTTGAACTAGCTACCCAGTACCAATATGTGATCACTCCATACATCACCTGCACTGCTAGAAACCTCTTCTGAAGTGAGCAACATCCTCCCAAGTATGTGACTCCTGTGACACTATTCTGTGACTCGTGTCAACTTTTTCTCCATGGATCATAACATTTCAGTCATCAAAATACTGATTACCCTAACATTAAAATTTTGTTAACGCTATGAGCTACTATCGTACTCGAGTCACAGAATAGTGGCATGCGAATCACATACTAAAGAAGGATATTGCTCACTGAAAGAGAGGTTTCTAGCAGTGAAAATTATGTATGGAGTATATTTTTGTAGAAATGTCATGCACGTCACAGTGGAAGGGCTGTTATGTCAATAATTATCTGAACCAAAATGTAGAAAAAGACATTTAAAGTTTGCAGAGTTAATGTTTATGGAATGATAGGGTCTACAAAATGTTATATTTCAAGATTATATTGATCACTGTGGACTTTCAGACTTCGGCAAGTTAAAATTGAGTATTTTTTTCCCTATTCAAATTAATTAAACACGAAAAATCGATCAACTTAATGCTCTACTGTGTATTTGGCTTTAAGGGATAAATCTCTACTAGTGACTTCCAACTCATTTTGCCAGATCGGGCAACATTTTACAATGGCATATATACAATTAAGGTCTAGGTGTAAAAGTGATTTTAAGTGTTTTTTATTTTAATAATAGCCAGCTGTATTGGCACTCTTGTGCATACCTTAATAGATCTGTTACATAACGATATTGTCATCTTAGTACTTACTATAGCCTTTACCGTACACACTACTCAATATACAAACACAATGCCAAATGTTATGCGTACCTTAATGGCGTGTGAATCTTCAAACTTGTCTTCTCACCAGTCATGCGTAAGTTAACCTGCAAAAGTTAGAATTCATGATTATTATATTATCATGACACTTATTAGTATTGATATGTTCACAAATAGCACCTATATGTGTGTAATAGTTACAGATAGATATAGGCTGCAAGCGTGGTGATACTGTAACTGTGTGTAACAAAGACTTCTGTAGTGTTTTGATACTGAATAAAAAAGATGTTTTGATACATTATCAGGTGGTAGTGAAAGCTGGGCATGGCAATGGGCATTGTAAACCTACAATGGTGCATAATGACACTTGTTTAAGCTAGCAATTTTTTACTAATAAAAATGACAACATGAGCTTGCAAGCCCCTTACCATCAATGCAAAAGATGCCTTCCCACGCACATTTTTGTGACAAACCACTATAAAAACGTAAGTAAATAACTCGCTACACTTTAACTGAACGTTAGATTTAAAAATAATACTGTATAAATAAGTATCAAGCTTATATTCCCTCAACGAAAAAACAACTCGAAAAACGTGTTATTCCGCAGTTCTGTATCATGGCGGCAAGAGTCGACGCAGGTAAAGTAACCAGCACAGCTATAGATATCATATAACACATGTGTTATATGATATCTATGAGCATATGCAGCCTTCATCACTTTCAGCGCTTGGCAACACCACATGGCACCAAGAGACACGTCACAACATCGCCGCAGAGCGTCAAAAGTAAACGCTGTTTGAAACATTCGACCCGACACTTTCACTTTGTAGTCTAAAAGCTTTGAATGAATGTATTCATGAGCAATTTGTTTTACCTATCACACATATATATATAGGCAAGTACAAACGTGCAATGTTAAAATAATTCATTTTTGCCTGATTTTATGTTTTCCGCTTGAAACTTCGAGGGTAGGCACCTTTAAGGATACTCTCCACGTTGTGCACGGGTATTGCTCTAGTGAAGATTAAATGTTTATTGGCGAATGAATCGAATCAATCACTTGTTTTATTTATAGAGGAGATATATCTCTATGCTCAAGCCAAAAAATGTCATGAAATTTCCAGCACCTAATTATGTTCCCACACAAATTTTGAATTTTTATGTAAAAATGGTATTTTGGATATTTCTCAATTACCAGAAAGAGTGAGGATACAAAATTTTTGCCACATGTTAAGCACAATATGGACCAAAATAGCGCGTCAGGATTTTTCTTTAATTTTCATATTTACCGAAAAAAGTCGAAAAAACTGCTTAAAAATCAAGTTGTGTGTTAAAATATAAGAGAATAAAGAGGCATAACTAATAAAGTACGGCACTTAATAACAATCCATGACGCACTTTTTTACCATAATATGTTACCATTAAAACGAGTGTAAAATTAAATTAATCCGAGTTGTAATCACAGAGAAATATCCATTTATACATCGGCTACTATGTCAGAAATCGAAACGGAGAAATGAGGGTTTTTCTATTTTTCACAATGAGTGACCGCCTGTGTGCAAAATGGGTGAACGTATGTGATATATCTATTGTTAGTACTTACTGCGACATATCCATGACTAACTGACACCACTAAATTGGTAAAATGTTCCATGCACCTTGAGAAATTCTGAGAAATTACGAGGTGACCAACGCAATTCCATGCAAATGGCGCGAACACGCCGCTTGCCTGACGTCACTGTCAACAAACGCGTGCCTTATGCAAAGGTGCGTTGCGAGGTGTGAGAACTATTTTAGGCTCCTGTGGGATACTTATTGGATCAGAGTAGTAGTACAGCTGTAGCAGGGTTGATGTTGTCAGGAGTAGATAATAGGGAATTCCCTATTATCTACTCCTGATATTGATGGATACTGGCTCAGTGAATATCGTGAAAATGCTGGTTGTATCATGTGTCTGACGTCATAATGACGTCAGCCGCGGCTCACTACACATGTACGGGGGCAAGCAAAAACGCTCGGACAGTTCACATGTACCGTTATATGGATAAATGAGCACGTACAAACGTGGCGCATAGTGTTAGCCATCGAATAAAGTTGAAAACGAAATATCGATAAAATTTCATGCACAACGTGGAGAGTATCCTTAATGTACCATCAATAATTAAATTGACTATGTCACAAATTTTCTATGGTGTAGGTATATTTGTAAAATGTTTGTTGCCATTTTTTTACATTAAAAGTGTAACGGCCT